AAGAAGGACCACAGGTTACCCGCAACGCTCAGCAGGCTGACCACGTAAGCCAAGTCCGCCATCCGCGCCGCCGACTGTATCCCGAAGCCACCCAACCGCTCCGGTAGGGAGATCTGGAGTCGCGCCGCCTCGTTAACCTTGCCGCCAGTCATCAGGGACTCATCATCAAGAATTTTAGAGAAGCACGTGACGAGAGAGGTATCCCAGGCCTTAAGTGCCTCCAAGAGCTTAGGGTCGGCGGTGTAGTGCGGCAAATGAAGTTTGACCGCGCCAAAACTGATCCCGCAAGAATCCTGGAGGCTGTCTGAGCGTCGCCGATACCTGGCAATGCCGCCAAGACCGGCTCGTCAGACCCCCGTTTCGCCTTGACTGCTGCCTCGACAAAAGCGGAACCGCCAACCGGGGACCCCACCACCACAAGTCCATCCTTAACCTCCTCCATGCTGTAGAGCGGGTTGCCCTGCGTCGGCTGAGGCCCGCTCGGCGAATACCACTCGCACTTCACCACCGAAGTCTGCATGCCAGAACACTCCAACTCGCTCTGCAGCGTCGTGTAGGCCTTGCCCACCGCCTTGATATCCCCCATCACATAGGTATCGTCGGCATAGCTGACCACGAAGACATCCAGGTGCTGCGCCTTCATGCGCTCCAAGGCCGGCTGCTGCGCCAGAGCGTAGAGGAAGGAACCCAACGGGTCCCCCTGCCGCACCCCCGTCCGTGACCATAGGGTGTGCCGTGTTGTGTCTGCTCGATAAAGCAACGAAGATGGCGCTCCATACAGTGAAAGCAGGAAGGGGACCATTGGTGCAAACGGCCCCTTGACCAGTTCGTCGAACAAAACTATGCGGCAGATTGTATTAAAGGCGTTGGCGACATCGATCTGCAGTATCACCCACTCGGGGTTGGCTCGCCGCCCTGCACGGATCCCATGAATCATGGTCTCGCCACCAAAACGAGCCCCTGCCCCGAACTGCCCCTTGGGTTGCAGATGCCGTGTGATAACGTCATGGAAATCGATGGAGAAGCACCGTGCCACGAGGTGGGGAACACCTCGCCGACTGCAATAGGACGAACACCTCCCCCTGGTTTAGCGAGCGCCACCAGCGTGCTTGCAGTCCACAAAGTGGCGATCCCCGGACCGACCTCCCCTCGCGCCGCGTGCTGAAGCCACCCTCCTAGAAGCCTGATGTCATCTGGGTGGGTGAACATCTCGCGGAGGAAGTCCATGCGCCACCCCGTCGGTCCTCCTGCTGACCCTCGTGGGCTTTCGCGAAGGGCCCGGAGAAGGACCTTCGTCTTCAGGGTCCATTTTGTTGGCTTGGCCGGAGACGCGAGGATGCACTTCCCTTCCTCATCGATCCGTGGAAGGTTGGAGTCTGGATGCTTGGCCTCCAGGGCCAAAAGTGTCTCCTTTGTCGCTGGTGCAAGCTCCGCGGCCACCAGCGCCTCTGCTGCTCGCGACAGCTCCGCAATCTGGGCAAACTGAATGCTCCGACGAGTCCGCGCATCCTCAGGGCCGGTCCCAGCCCGACTAGTCCGGACACGGCTAGCAACTGTGTTGATGGACGCCAACCCCCTCTCGTACAAGGTCGACCACTCCCCTCGTTTGAAGAGGTGCAGCAAACCCCGCACCTGCTTCCAGTGTCCAACATCGCCAAAAATAGCTGCAGTAGACAAGCACAGCTGAGGGAACACACCCAAGAGGGTACCCGCCGCGAGATGCTTTGGGTCCTCCTTCAGCTTCCGTAGTAATGGCCGAACACATGCCACTGTGAGGGCGCGACGCCGAAAGGGGATATGACGCAGAACCGGCAGCATCGCTCCCTTCTCCCTGACGAAAAGTGACCAGTCCAGCTGCATGGCGGACTCCTAGTAGGCATCACCAAACTCGACCTCCGGTGGGACATCAGCCTTCCGGAGTTCCGCCTTAGTCATGTCACGTAACTCCGCCTCGTGAACGGCGTCACGCGCGGCACAGCCATTCTTGCGATACGTATGGTTGTTGCGCGTCCTGCGGGACCAGAACTTGTTGCCGCAGATATTGCAGAGAAACCCCTTAGGGAGGGTTGCTTGGCCTCCCTGGCTGATGGCACTAGAATCCGTCTGGTCTAAGGCGGAGGCGACGCCTCCGTGGGAAGATGCAGACCCGTCCTCTGATCCTGAATCGGCGAAACGTGGCTGCTTAACCTGAGCAGTTTTCCGAACTCCGGCCTGGGACCGATCCTGGGGGCCGACCTCCCATTTGCCATCACGACCCGTATCCTTTGCTTCCCCTGCCCGAGCATTCAAACGTGGGCGAGATGGGCCCGGAGCAGGTGTCGGAGCCCCTGTCGCCACCACCGGAGTCGCGGCTACCGGAGACTCCTGCTGTGGGGTAACTGGAGACGTTTGAACTGGAGGCGTAGCAGGAGCCGCGCCCGAAGATGCAGTGGCTGTCGAAGCCGAAGGAGCCGCAGTCCGAGACTTCTTCTTTTTCTTGGCCTTGCCCTTCTTCTTCTGGGACTTAACCCCTTCAGCAAGCGCAGTTGGCGAGTCCCGCGTTGCGTCCGGGGCTGAAGTCCCGTCGGGTGGGTTCGACGAAGATGTCGAGTCGTCAGGTTGCTGGTCCGATGCTGGCGCGCCAGAACCAATAGCTTTAGGCTTTTCCAGGCCGGGAGCGAGGGGGGGGATGGCGCCCTTCCCCTTCTCCACAATGCCTTTCCTCTTGGCCTTCCCCTTGGCCTTCACCGCGGGGTCCTGCGACCGGAGCTTGAACTTCCCCTACCGGTGGTTCGACAAGCGGCGAACTTGCCTCATCGCCAGCAGCGTCAGTCATCTCCTGGTCCTTGGCTTCCAATCCTGGAGCAGACCCCCCAAGCTGAGCGGACAGAGCGTCCAACGAGTTTGAGAGCCGGTCCATTCTTTCCGACAAGGTCCCCACCACATGCATGACAGCGGGTGGGACCACGCAGGGGGGCTGAGCATCCCCACGCTCATGAGCAACTGGCAGTACCCCCATGTCCGTATCCGGCCCAGCGGAGACCGTGTGCCTCGCAGTGACGATGGATGGAGGGGCCGGGGGGGGTGGAACAGCCACCACTTGCTGAAGGTGGGGCTGAGCCCGCACCAGGAAAACCACCATAGGACCAGCCGATGCGGATGGGGCTGGATCTGGAGGAGCTGGGAGTGCCGCTAGAGGGGCGGACCCCCCCGGCAATACCCCTAGTCCCTGCAGATGCAGCACTTTCCGCACAGCGGTCTCGACCAGATTTGACGGGGAACAATGGTGTTTTTTCATAATTTTACGTTCCCAAAGGAGGGAGTGACACCGGCCACACTTCCCAGGCACCGCAGGGTGACCAGAGGAATGGGTGGAGTCGCTGCTCGCAGGTACGACCTCCTTCCGTTCGCCTGCTGTGAATCCCTGGAAGGCGGGCGCAGGTTGGCTCAGAAGGACCTCCCCCCCTTTGAAAGGATTCTCTGGGACCACAAGAGCTGTCTCGGGGACTTCGAGAGCGTTCTCAAGATCTTCAAGAACCTCCGCGGGGGGTGAAGACAGTCCCGATTTGTTGAGTACAGGCGGGAGGAACACAATCTTCACGGGGCTCGGTTTCTCCATCTCTGCGAGTTCTTTCGTCTCAGCTGGTTCTTTCCCCTTTTTACGTTTTTGTCCTGTGGCCACAGGCCCCCCCTTGTTGCTCGATGCCGACGGATAGTCGATCCTCAGTATGGTGGAAGCCACACCAATGCCGACTGAGGGTTGCCTCGTAGGGGTGTCAGCAGGGTCGGGGCTTGGGCTGGGGCGTTGCTTCTTCGCTGGAGGCACCGTCAGAGCTAACGTCTCCCTAGGAGACCGGCTCGCAACACTAATGCCCTTCCCCCTGAGCCCCCTTTCGCCTTACGGCTACCGGGAGGCGTCCCAGTCGGTTTGGGGCGCAACCCTTTCTCCTCGTGGGTCCCAGATTGTGCCACGGCCGCTGGCTCCGCGTCAGTTAACCGCGCCGCAGAGTGCTTACGCTTGGCCATGGTCCGGGGCAGACTAGTAGTGCGAAGATCTCTCCTCGCAGAGCGCTCTCTCTTAAGCCTCCTAGCACGAGCTAGAAGACCCACCACCATATAGTGTCTGCACTTCCCACTATTCATGGTTCGCTGCGGATTGGCTGACTTCAGACGGATTGTTACCATACCCCGGGTGTAGCTGAAGGCTTCCTAGGCCACGAGCGCACGCGTCCGCTTGGTACCGAATGAACCGGAGCTTTTCCCGCAGTAAGGTGGTGTCGCAAGGCGTGGAAGCCTCACTATCCCTTAGGCCGACTCAAGGACGGCACCTTCATCAGAAGGCGGATGGCACCCGGTATCCGCTAAATCACCTTGTCCAGCATAGCTCTTCAGGATGGTTTGGTTTGCGTGGTAGACTCGATGGCATGAAACCCTTTTGCACCCCGCTCCTTTACGGCCGAAGCCGCTTTTGGCTAGTCGGGTGTGGTCTTGAAGAGTCAGCAAGCAAATGTGTGTTAATGAGAGTGTTTTTTTGAGAGCTGAGCGGCCGAAGCCGAGCTTGAGTGTGAGCAATGAGAGCAAGGTCGGCTTATTAGGCCTACTGGAGTGGATGAACTAGCTACCAGATGGTTCGATTAGTCTTTCGCCCCTATACCCAAGTCTGACAAACGATTTGCACGTCAGTAGCGTTGCGGGCCTCCACCAGAGTTTCCTCTGGCTTCGCCCTGCTCAGGCATAGTTCACCATTTTCGGGTCCCAATGCGACTACTCAACGCACCCCGGGCGCCGAGGCCCCCGGGGCGGTCCGTGGTGCGGGCAGCACGAGGCCGCCTTCTCACGGGTCGCCTTCACTATCACCATTGTGGTTTCCAACCCATTGGCTCGCAGCCGCGTTGGCCTCCTTGGTCCGTGTTTCAAGACGGGTCGCATCAGCCCGTTTTGCCAGCGCCGACCCGTGAGGGTCATCCTCGGTCTCCGCCGCGGTGGGAGCGAGCTCCTTTTCCCGCGGCATCGACCGGCGC